GTCTACTATCTCCAGTTCACTGCGAATGGTTACCAAGCAGGTTCTATGGGTATACGTGTGTACAAGAACAGCGAAAGGATTATGCATAATGGGGTTCGGAAACCTGATGAGCGTCATGAGTATTTCACTAATTCTCTTGTTTTTGGACGTGCCAGGAGATAATTCACTTGTATAATTCAGGTCATTTCTCTATGAACTGAATCACAGCACTTCGTGGCGCCCCTTTCTCCATGTAGGGTGTTGTTTGGCTGCTGTGTGATTGATTTGTCACAAACTCTGTTGTTATTGGCTACACTGTGATTCTTGAGAAAATGCTGATTTATATCAGCACTGCGTCCTCCAAGACAAATTTATACACTTAGTGAATGTATCAAATAATGTGATTCTGAATCTGACTTCCCTCTTATGTCATTAAACAACATTCAAATAAATCAAAGATTCATTGAAGTTTTTTTTATTCTGTTTGTTGTCATTGTTGTTATCAACAGCAGGTGTTCATATAGAAACTTCATGTGAGACAATCCCATGAACTGCTCTGATGTTCACATACTGCAACTATTCAAATGTGGATCAAATTACGCTGTAAAGCCTGAGTGAGATTTTATTGATACACTCCCTGAAACATATTAGCTGAAGCTGGGATGTGTGTTAGTTAATGAAAGTTAACATATGACATATGTTGGTCATTTCACCATTTGTGCCTTAATAGACAGAAGAGAATCGGGTGACGAGCTATTTAAAAAAATAAAGCACAAAGTTTAGTTCAACATCAAAGCATTTGAACAAATCATGGAGTAGTGTGACTTTTCAGTGAGAGGACATGTGCTTGAAGAATTATGTATCTGTATGTTAGGCATGTGGTGGTTTAAATGGCCAGTATGTAACGTTTTGGAGGATCTATTTGTAGAAATTGAATATAATATTCATAAGTGTATAATCACCTATATTTAGGAAGCATTATGGTTTTGTTACCTCAGAATGAGCCTTTTATATCTGAAGATGCTGCAGGTCGCCTTTCATGGAGCCTGCCATGTTTCTACACTAAATCCTTCACACTGGACCTTTAAGTCTTGAGACAACATTGGACATTTCATTCAACTTAACAGTTGGTACACATGAACATTAATCATGAAAATACCTAATGTCGTTTAGATAATTATGGAAACTGGATGATATGGCTTGTCATAACCCGGCTCCTAGGCTATGACAAATATGGCATAGGACACAATAGATGGCTAGAAATTAGTGAATGTATTATATTAATTTAAACAAATAAACAACGAGTTATAAGTACAAATGTGAAATGTGTCAGTCAGTAACATCAGTAATGTAAATGTGGATGTGTGAGCAATATGAGGTGTAAATGTTGTAAAGTGAAACCAAACAAACAAAGAGAATGTGCTGCTGCTGCTGCTGGCAGGGATGCAGCCGAATTAGAGAGAGAGAGAGAGTCCAGCGCAAAGTTGAGACTGGGTTTTTATCCTTTCAGGAGTGCCTGAACCAGGTGCAGGCTGCACAGTGTGTTCAACACTTAGGGGAGTTAATGTGAAATAAACCACAGCCACAAGAATGTTTAATCAGAGTTCGTCTATAGTGACTACAAAACTTTTTCATGTTTGATTTTTTAATGTGAAATTAAGTCTGATCTATAAATATGTATCTAAAATAAACAAAAACAATAATAACATATGACAAAATATTGCATAACAAGTGATCTGAACACCACTTTGACAATGTGAGTCAATAAAATGTGTGGTTTCAATTTGTTTAATAAAGCATACAAAGTATGATCTTTCTGTAAGGCTTTATTTATTCCCCTTACAAATGCTACAGGAGGGTTTTAAACTTATATTTAATGAAAGTGAACGTATGAACATCCAACACCTGACCTTTGACCCCTGACCATAGTTTAACAGTGTTACAGACCTTTGTATTGTCCAAATAGAATTTTCATAAAATATCAGAGAGAATGAGACAAGAAGTGAGACAGAGTGAAGAAAAAACTTTTACTCACTCACCCTCAGTCACACTAAAAGGCCTTAGCATCAGGATAAGTAGGTTTCTGTGACTGTCTATGTGTGTGTATTAATAAACACAGTGTAAACAGCTGTGACTGCATGAGAGAGTATCTTAGTAAAAGTGTTCCAGCAGCCTGTAGCAGCTTGTATTTTCTCACCAGCACAGAAAAAATATTTAATCATCTGAGGCCTTGAATCAGTCACTTGTTGTTTTTCCCATTCGTTCAGCCAGCTGAAGTTTGGAGACTATATAAGACAGACCAACTCTACCACTGTACCTTTGTGAAGACGTGTAACTGGACATCAATGAGGTTGTTCTTGGTTTTGCTGTTGTTGCTGCTCGGTCTGTGTGGCTCAGGGGCTCAGGGAAGACTCGACGAGGTGGGTGCAGTTGAGGCAATTGGCAGAGCCAGGACCATCTCTGAATCTGGCAAGAGGTGGAGGGCACCGGAAGAGAACATTGGTCGGTGGATGAGATTCGCCTCAACTCACAAGTAAGCATCTGCCATATATATAGCTGTGCGTCTGGGTGCACTGTGTATAGCTTGCGAGAAAAGGTACAATAAATGGAAATAGACTGGATATGTGTAGCATGAAAAAGCTCTCGCAGATGTATATAAATGGAATTTCACTGTGGCGTCCAAGATATCTGTCTGAGTGTGACGACCCCAACTCCAGGTATGGACAATTTTTCCTTTTTTTAAATGGATGGGAAGTTGAAGCAGATCTGTAGTAGTTGAGGACACCACTCTATGGAAAATAAAAAAAGACATAATTGAGACTTGACTAAGAAAGAACCATTTAGGTGTTATGTACGGCATATTTTTCTTCT